GAAGCGGCCTCTCGTGTAACCGGCCTCTCGTGTCTCCCTGCAGCAAATGGAGAGGATCCTGAAGAAAGCGTCTAAAACCCATAAGCAGAGAGTGGAGGTGAGCGAAGTGACCCCCATTTACTCAGGCCAGCGTGTGTTTCTCGGCGTGCAGGCTTGTTGGGCTGGAGGAACTGCTCTGCCTTTGTTAAAGGCAGCAGCAGGGAGACAGAGGGGCTTGTGGGTCAGCAGCTGTGGTGTCAGTACCCAATACTGAATGTTTTCTTTCTGTTTCTGTCCCCTAGGACTTCAACAGGCACTTGGATACTCTGACTGAGCATTACGACATTCCTAAAGTCAGCTGGACCAAGTGAATGGGCTGCTTGTCGAGGCTTTTGGATGAGGAGCTGTGTTCTGTTTGTGTTGAACGGGGTTGCCATGTAAATCCTATGGAATGTTTAATATATCTTCTGAAGGTTTATGACTTTGTACTGTTTTATTTCATTGTTCTGTAAAAGCAAATATCCAACAAAGTCTCCTCTTGGCTGATGAGCTCTGATTTATGTAGGCGCAGATGGCTATTTATTTTTTTTAGAGCTTAAAGTGAGATTAAGACAAAAATCAATTGCTGGGAGCCAGCTGGAAAATGTTCCTTTATTCGTTTGATACTGACAGTTCTCGTTTTGGGGTGGGAAGAGTCTGACTGTCTCATGTACCATAAACTCCTGTAAAAATTCTGGGAATTGGGTAATTTCTTTCTATGTAGAGTTCTCCTAGAGGTGGTGGGTCTGCTGGAACTTGTAACTTCGATGTAACTTATTATTAAAAGGCTTTTATCCTTTTTTTGGGTGCTGACTTGCCGATAAACTCAGGGGCAGAGGTCTGGGGGGTTTGTGCCTTCCTAGTCCTCACCCCCTCTGACTGACGACACGTCCCTTGATGTCTGAAATCCTCACACAGCTTTTGGACCCGAATATTGTTCCTAAAGCGAGTGTCATCCCTCGGCCTTGCCACAGCTCCGGGCGCGCCCCGGGGCCGCTTCCCGGCGGGGAGAGGGCGAGACCCCGGGACTCTTTAACGGCTCCCCGGGACTCTTTAACGGCCCC